AATCAAAGACTTTGGGCTAGTGAGTTGCACAGCTCTAAAGCAAGATCATGTCACATCCCAGGTATCTACTGAACACATGTCGACTGAAAACAACATCTAATAGATATGTCGCTATTTAGCCTCAACTAATGAACGAGGGAGACATCATCTCTGAGATGAACATCTGACATCATCCTGCAGATGAAACTGAAGACCAAATCCTTCTGGTGCAATGTTGTAAGTGAAAAACTGCATCCTCTGCAAAAATGCCACAATAAAGCAGAGCATCAGTAACACTTCATAAGAATCGTGGTGTCTAAAGAAGGAAGGAACTGAAATTAATTTAGGGATTGTTTCTCTAACATCTGGCAGCAACCAGCCAAATCAACTCTGTTACTGTTTTAGGCACGTTTGTACTTTCCACAGTGTGCACAACCAAAGTTAGTGTTCAAGCTATTTCAGTAGACTTTCTTTGAGTAGTAGGCTGGACTATAATTATTTTATTTCTATGTAGTCAAAATTTTTTCCTTTCATTAAAAAGATCTGCAATATTCCTAATGAGGTCAGAAAGACTTGCATGCTGAGTTGCACAGTTTATATTAAAATCTGCCATTACAAATACTCTCTGAATACTTAATATTATGATTACAAGCCCCTGAACTCAGAGTTGTATTAACATGCTACAGGAATACTAATTGTCATATAAATTCAAGATGAGAAACCGTAAGTGAAACAGCCTAACACAGATGCCCTTTTGAGAAACAATGTACCTTTTCTTTAAATACCAGTAGATGGTGGCACAGCCAAATCCTGTAGCCACGCTGATATGTGACTGTGGCAGAGGAAGAGAAGAGAGGAAGGCAGGACTGCAGCGGCCATCTTGCCAAGTAACCAGATGACTGACTTCCTCTGGCTCAAAGATAGGGCCAGTACCTCCCTCTGTCCACTTGCAACCTGAAACACAACAGTGTTTGAGAAGTCCAGTAATTACCAGCAGTGCATTCACTGCCTGGCATTCTTTACTTCCAGATCCTCTGAGTTTGTCAAATACAATGGGGAAAATAAAGCAGAAACAGTGATGTCACCCCAATAGCGATTATAATCAAATTAATTAGTCACAGTTTCCGTCCTACATAACATCATAATTCCAGTCATCCTCAAATAATTTTGCATTTCTGCTGAGAGGTAAGAAGCAGATATGACAGCTCTCAGATACAAGAGTCAAACTGCCACATCATGACTGAAGAGCACAGTATTTGTATGATGGACAGTGCATAGCGTCATCCATCTTTTGAGTCAGTGCAATTGCAAACCTAGTTCTACATGTATTAGGCAATGGACTGCAAAGTACCAAAGAACACCCCCATCCAGAGAAGGATTTAATTCAGTTTTATCAGTCTAGCACTTTTTAATTTTTCCAACAGAGATCACTACACCTTTCGTTAAGCTGTCAGATGTTTCTATGCAAAGGCATCAGTTCAATTATGGCAACTTCTCATGGCTGCACAGAGCCTTCTCAGCAACGTCTGCATTGGTCCAGTGCAGCGTGCTGCTTCCTGCTCCCCATGAGCACTCCTAGGGCAGATTAGACACCTCAGAGCAGCAAATCAAGCAGAGGCTGAGCTCCAGCACTGGCCTGTAATGTCTGCTAGTAGCATGCTCCACAGCACAGCTTCAGCCTCTGCCAACTACTGCTCTCCCAGATAATGCTGGGCTTCAACGTGGGGACAGGACAGGCCACATGCTGTATGCAGTTGGCCCTGTAACCAAAGCAGCTTTTTTGGTTTTGTTGTTGGTGTGGCAGGAGGCTTTCAAGTTGTGCTGTGCCACTTCTCCTTCAGGTCACAGAAGAGACCTGGCTGCTTAACTGACCAGCAAAATACGATTTAAAAGGTTTCTTGGGTTGGATATAGGGCTTTGAAAGTATACACACAGAGTGAAAAGCACCCATGAAAGGTGGGAAATATTACAGGAAACATGACAAGCAAATGGATGCCTTTTCTTGCTGTCTTAATTCCCTGCTCTATCAAATCTGTTTGAAACAATTTTCAAAATGCTCAATTCTAAATGGATCCAAAGAAATATTATTAACCATAAATCTAACCCTAAAGGATGCTATTAAAAATCTAATTTGTATCCCAAAGTGCATGAATTCACTTAGTCTACTCAAACAAATGGGAGCAAACATCCTCTTTCACAAGATATAAATGAAACAAAAGTAGCATGTGGCTTTAGGAAATAAAATATTAACCAATATCACACAAAAATCTGTGCCTATCAGTCTATCACAAACCCAAGAGGTTTTGTTATACAGCCCTTGGGACAGCTGGAAAGCAAGCAACAGCTCCTTCAGTCCATCAGCCCTTGGATTTTTTTTCTTCGCAATCATTTTAGTATTTAAAGTAAAACTGCAACCAGTAATGAATAGCACTGTGTCTCCTTAAGCAATTAAAACTGGCAACTTTTGATAGGCAGTGACCAGCACTTTTGGAAAATTTCTTCTGCAATTTACAATAAATCTGCTTATCTCCTATTACTGATTTTCAGTTTTTCCTCTTACTGTGCTGCCAAGCAGCACTTCAAATTAGCAAAGCAATATTCCCTATTGGATAGCTACTGCTGTGCATAACCTAACATACAGGCCAAGTATAGCTTGCTTTCCAAGGCACACACAGAAGTGTTAATACTGCTTCTGCAGTAGAAGTATTGAGGTACTGAACAAGTAGGTAAGTGTTGCTCTTTTTAATGTCGTTCCCCTCATAAAAAAAAAGTAATCCATGTGGTCCAGAAGTTCTTCCAAACAGCAGCAGATCATACAGGTAGCATATGATGGACAATTAACAATTCACATATAAATGTGAAGGTGGAATTGCCTATAACTGCACTCGCTCCACAGGGATCTCACAAGACTAAACCCTCCAAACAATCTGTGTAAACAATGTGGTTATTTATAGCCAGCAGCTGAAATGACAGTAATTAAAGCAAAATCCCCACAGAAGATGATGAACATGCAGTAGTTTCTTACAGATCACTTCAGCGCTCAGAATTTGTTTTCTGCATCATAATACTCTACACAGGAATGCCAAAAAATTAATGTTACCTTGATCTCTTTTCCAAAACACAATCCCATGCATTTGCCCTGTAATGCCAATGTGACTGACTCTTTGAAGCTGCTGCTGAGGTAGAGCAGCAAGGCATTCATTCAGGGCTCTTATTATCCTCCGGCTGTCCTGCTCCATTCCCTGTAATCATGAAACATTACACTGAGCACAGAGCCATTAGGACTCACTCACTGTATTTATTAAACAAGGCTACTCTAGTCAGAAGCAAAGAACAGAATTCATTTAGCTTAATAGCACGCATTAGAATAATATTCACTACTAAATTGAAAGAAAGAATACAAAATAAACCACAAAACCCCAAAACCAATACTAGCGAATTGAGAATGAGATAACAGCATCTTACACTGAAAGCCAAATATTTCTTAATTTCTTAAGACATAATACTCAAATATACCTTTTTTTTTAAAAAAAAAGTCATGCTTTTGAAGACCAGATTACTTTGACAGATCAGAATGAAGATTGCAAGCCAAAGTACTTAAATACAGCCTACACATACAGATGTGTGCTCTTGTATGTATATAAACTTCTAGGTGTGAAAACGTGGGTGTAGGGAAAAAGGTTGGCCTGTTTGATATCTGCTTAGAAATGAGCCCTTGGAAGCACAATGCTAGCCTAGAGAATGCTGATACTTTATGTTCATGTTTGTGATTCATGCTTTATTTGATTGACCAACACAACAGAAATAAAGCCTTTTAACAGGTGTACATGCTTCTGGTTATTTCCATGGGGAATTTCCAGTTAGGATTCCATCTCACATTGAAGTGCAAAATACCTTCCCAGTTGGCAAGTGCTTGTTGTTTGCTGGCTGGCATCAAAGACAAGGTGATGATTAACAGAACAGGTTTAGGTTGTCTTGTGACACCTGGGACTACAGCAAAAGCGGAATCAGACTTTCTGCAGGCCTGCAGAGTCTCCGTAGTGAAAACTGAGCTTGAGATACCATTTCAGATGTGTGAGAGGCTCAAGCAGAGGCAAGTCATTTACCTCTATGGTGCTACTTAAGGAATGTTCTCAGCAGCTGCCTCCATTTTGAACAAAAAGAGGGAATAAGTTCTTGAAGAATTACTATTCTCACCGAATGCACTATTCTCATTGTAACCTGACCACTTCAGTACTTAACCAGCAGTTTGTGTCCTTCTTAAAATAGCTTTACTCGGCTTTCTTGAAGACCAAGCAAAGAACATATTAATTCTAATTTCAGATACCCAAAAAACATGCAGCAACCACCTGTCACTCCAGGCACAATAATAATAATTAAAAAAATAATAATCCAGGAAAGCCACCAGAGTCCCCATAAACCAGTAACACAACCCAGTCACTATCAGGCAGCCATCCTGGAACCACCAGCAGCACTTCCAGCCCTTACCTGCAGTCCAGCTTCCACACTGCTGGTGTAGGCCTGCGTCTCTCTGGAGCAGCTCTCTGCCACCACCTGCCCTTGCTCTGTCCCCACCACCAGGGCAGCCTTCACAGAGGTTGTGCCCAGGTCTATGCCCAGCACGCAGACAGAATCACGCCCACCCTCCATGGCTGCTTGCAGACGGGACTGCGTTCACCTCGCCCACCACACACCAGCCTACACAGTTCCCGGGCACCACACAGCGTGCTGAGCCCTCACACCGCTTCTCCTCGCCTCTGAGGGAGCTCCGAGGCCCCGCAGCGCGCAGCGAGCGGGAGCCCAGCGCTGAGGGAACAGCCTGGACCCTGCCCTCAGGACTCTGGCCAAACATGTCTCACCCTCACAGCTCCGGGGTGCTACCTCCATCCTGAGCGTGACAAAACGCCCCTTTCCCCAGCCCTCCCCAGCACCCTGCGCATCATTAAGCGAAGCACCAACACACGGCCCGAGCAGCCAGTGCACCCTTCGACCCGCCGCTCTCCCCCCCGCAGCCCGGCGCCCGCTTCGCTCGGACGCGCCCAAGATGGCGCCCGGGAGCGGCCACAGCGTGACACCGCTCGGCGGAGCGTGAGGCGAGGAGGCGATAGGCAGTCGCCTCACGTGAGGAGTTGAAAAGGGAAGAGCCGGGCTGTGTGGGACAGAGCTGCGGCGCTAGAAGGAGGTATGTGGGCTTTATCGGGTGCTGCTACCCAGGTATAATGCACCCTAAAGCGTCGGCTGGCTCCTCTTCACCGCGCCCCTGAGGGGAGGGCGGCGAGAACTACAAGTCCCAGCGTGCGCCGCGCGGCCACGGGAGGACGGGCTGCGGGGGTGCAGTGGCTGCTGAGATTTGTAGTTCCGGGAGGAGGGGGGGGGCGGCCGAGTGGCGGGAGCAAGGTGAGCGCTGGGGGGGGGGCACCTCTAGGGCCGTCTGGCAGATGGGGACTGACAGAGTAACGCCTTTTTGGGCTGGGATGGGGCTGTTTTAGAGCTGTGAATGGGCTGGTGCCCTCCCAAAGTTTGTAGGGTCTGAGCAGAGCCTTTTTTTTCTTTTTCTTTCTCGTGCAGTTCATCCACCATGAAGATGAGACAGCTCTTCCCTCCTGTTCTGCTCCTCGCACTTGTGCTGCTGGGGCACGGCGATCAGTGCTCGGCTGTCCCTGCTCGGACCCAGAGAGGTGGGTGAGGGGGCTCAGAGGCATCCCCCAACTCACACTTCGGGGGAGACCTCACCTCCCTCAGCTCTGCTTCCATACCAACCTTTGACTTTGCACGCTGTGCTGAGGCGGTGTTCTCACACACAGACCACTATCGCAGGACACTTGCCATATACTTCAAGAGTCACGCTTGGATCTCACTTGAACATCCGGTTATCTCGTGCACCTCAAGCAGTAATTTTAAACTGAATTTTAAACGCTATACCTACCAAGTTACTGGGATCACATCACAAGCAGTGTCAGTTTAAAGTACCGTATTGCTTCCTCTTGTGAACTTTTGCTACAATTCAAATATTTAGATTGCTTCTTTGTGACATGTTCGATGGTTATTTAGTTCCCCTTTTAAGTTGTTTAGTCTCCTTGAAGTACTGATTTATTTTTTTATTTATTCTAATATTACCCTGCAAATAGTAATGGACAATTTTCTTTTCCCCCCTCAGATGGAGTCATTGTACTCTCTGTCCCTGAAGTGGTTTTGTTAGAAAATGAGAGTTCAACAAATGTCACGATATCTCTGAGGTAAAATGATGAATTGAAACTTTGTTTTGTAGGCTTTTTTTTTTTTTTTTTTTTTTTTTTTTTTTTTTTTTTTTTTAATGAAACTGGGAGGAGAAAGAAGGTAGAACTTCACCATAGATAGAAACTTCCCTACAGACTTAGTTAACTGTGCATAGAGAACTTGATCTGAGTGTGACTGGCCACTTCTAGACCATCACATCACTAAGTACCACTTTGGACCAAGATAGAGCCACAGCATCTGAAATATAGTTGGTCTCCAGCAATATCCTATACCATTTGTATGGAAAATTGAGCAGAAGATATTTCATACTGTCTACCTTGTATTAGCTGATTGAACTACCTTCTATATGTAAACTTAGAGTTCCTCCACTTCTTAAATGGTGCTGAAGAGAAAGTTGCGTTTCTTAGAAGGATCACAAAATTTCACCAAAAAATTTCACCATTTCAAAGAAATGCAATGACTCCAGATTAGGGACTGAGGCACTCAGTCTCATTGTTCAGTACAATGCATTTTGTAGCTGTGTTTTTGCTATCTTGGGCCTCTCCCAGGAAAGGAGTGTTAAATACTTACACTTAAAGATTCCAAAGGACAGAGGTGTATGTGAAGGGAATAGCCAGGTGATAGTGTAGTAAATGTGATGAAGAGGAAAATAGCAAAACTGGGTGCAACAGATTGGAACTCTTATTTCTGCAAAGAAGCATGTAGCAATTTTGTTCACAGACAGCTACAGGCATTTGAACCTTATGATACAGAGTGTACTGCTGTGCAGTCAGACCTCCTGGACAAACGCTTAGAGGAGTTCTTGGGTAAAGCTGTTCAGAACTACTTTACTTTTTTATCTTATATCACTACTGTAATTTCTGCTTATTATTTCCTCAGTACTGTCTATCCTTTGTGCCTCTCATAGTCCCCAAAATCCTACCATTGAGCTTGTTATTCCCCTTCAGGTAATGGTTTTGCTATGCTATTTGTGTGGAACAGAGGCAAAATGTGGTCATGTAACTGTTCAGTGCCTGTCACTAGTTCAGATAAAAATCAGTACAGTGTTCACAGATGTGGTGTTGCTGTCCTTTTGAGTACTAAGTAAGTAGGTACTATTATGTGCAGGCTGTTTGTTATGTTCATTGCAGCTCTGAGGAATTAGCAGATACAAAGATTGTTGCAGGGCTGTGAGAGCGAACTCAGGCACCAGTCTAACTTGGCTCTTCCATCTTTACAGGGCTCCATTAAATGAGACATTGGTGATAACTCTTAATATTACACATTCATCAAAACACAGCACCATTGTTGAGCTACCAGATGAAGTAAGTGATAGAATGGACTTATGACTCTATGCAAAAGCCTGTTGCTAGTATGGTGCAACTTTCCTCATTCTTTCCTCCACTTTGCCTTGCAGATTCAGCTGCCTGCAGGTCACACTAAGGCAGGCTTTCAAGTGAAAGCAGATGATGTTGGACAAGTAACAGTTTATCTTTATACCAGTAATTCCAACTTAACTGGGTGAGAAACTGATTTTTAGTTCTGCTCACTATACTGCTTTGTAGAATCTGGGCTTCACAGAATCCTCTCCCTGTAGCTAACTGGACATGGACAATACATAGTTGAGAAGATGTAGTGACTCTTCAGCAACCCTCAAGGTAGTCAGACAAATATGAGCTATGGGAACTGGAGTGGTATAATATTGATATTTTGGACTTTTACCAAGGTGACTGTGAGCACTTATGGCTTTTTAGTCTGCTTTTAATAACCTACCCCCAAAGTCTCAAAAATACATGTTCTGATCCAGGAAACGTTTGTCAGTGCCTAGTAGGAAACTACAGTTAGTGTGCAGAGCTTGTTCTGGAGTGCTAATGCTGTATGTCCACATAATCGTAAGGAGGTGCAGGTGTTCTGCTTCCTGGTTAGGGGAGCCCTCTGTTCACAGATTCTGGTCCTCTCTACCAGGAAAACAATCTAGCAAAAGGGAAGAAACTGGATTCTAGTTCCATGTTGCCCAGATGCTACTTATTAACAGGATAGTCCTGTGTTAGTTCCTCGTTTTACTTCTCCTTTTAAGACTTGCAGTAAAAGCAGAGGTAACCACATTCAGAAAGCGATCAACAGGCCAGGCATGATCATGGGGCTTTGCTGGCAGAGCATGAAAAGTGAAACTGCTCTTGCATAACAGACCTTGTGCTTAGACTGTGGGAATCATAGGCACAAAATAGCCTTTTTGAAGATTTCTATGTAGAATAGAAAGAAAAAGGCTGAGGATAGGAGTAGGACATACCCTAAATATAACAGGAACACTAAATAAAGGGGGAAAAACCTCAAGGAAACTATTTCTGAACCTTTGTTTTGTCTCAATGCCTGGACTCTGCTTGCTTTTCCTCTATGAGCAGAACAAGGCAAAAGACTGTGAAATAAAGTATGAGCAGGCAAATTAACCTTTGTATTAACCTTCAGACCTAGGATTCAATTTCAAGTGATTCATAGCATCATAGTGAAATATGCTGATGAGGTGATTGGATGGATCTATTTCCTTGCTTGGTCTATCTCCTTCTATCCTCAACTGTTTGAGAACTGGCGACGAAAAAGGTAAGGAAACGTAAGATGCATTTGCAGGTCCCTTAAGCACTTCTGAAAATCGTGTTCCGAGGTTCAGGGACAATCTTTGTTCTTGGGAATTATGCACGAAAAGATTGGGGGCAGGAAGAGAAGCAGAATAAAGTTTGGGCCTGAATTTATGCAGCACCAGTGAGCTTTTACATACGTAGATCAGAAGAAATTCTGATTCTGAAGTTTGCCACCCAGTATTAACTCCTGATAGAGGGGGGCTTCCATGTTTCCTGTGATGTCACGTTGCATGTATCATCTGGCCAAGGCACTTGTGCTGACACCCTTAAAATTTACTTCCCCTGTGAGCTGCTTACTAGACAGCAATTTGTAGTGTTATCATTAGATTAGCTCCCTTTAAACAAAGTGACTGCAAGTAGGAAAACTGTAGTATGAAAACTGAAGCAATCACTCTGGCAAATATGCACTGCTGCTTCTGTGGATTTAGACTGGCATGATTTTTATCTGGCTGAGCCCATGAAGAGGTAAACTTAGACAGCAACAAGCTTGGCAGTGAGAGCAGTTGTGAATGCTGATATGTGGCATACAAAAGGATACTTCACCTTACTACTCAATGAACTCAGCATCATGTTGTCACAACACCTACAGCTTTGGATTTCAACAAAAAGAAAAAAAAAAAATTGCCTATCTGGCTGTATGTTCTAGGGATAAGTAATCCCTTAAGTTTAATCATATTTTTCTCCTTCTCTAGTGTTGTTGGACTAAGCTTTGACTATATAGCACTAAACCTTACTGGCTTCATAGCATACAGTGTGTTTAACGTTGGACTCTTCTGGATTCCCTTAATTAAGGTAATCATTATTCTCTTTACTATTTTTCAGGAGTGGAGGTATCTACATAAGGGACTTATGACACTTAGCTAGTTTTGGTTTCTCTTGCACTTAGGAAGAATTCTTACTCAGTTACCCCAGTGGAGTGAACCCTGTGGCTATCAATGATGTTTTCTTCAGTCTCCATGCAGTAGCTCTAACACTGCTCACCATTATCCAGTGCTGTATTTATGAGGTAAGACTCAATGCTGGACTGCTTGGGTCGCTCTGGCAGAGCTCCCTCTGCTGGACTCACCCTACCAGCCTACTGAAGTCATCTATCTTCCCTCCCTTTCAGTGGCCGTTACAGTCCAGCAGCCTTATCTTTTGAGTTAGCCACTCCTGCAAGCTTTGCTACTTCAGCCACATGAACATTCTGAGCTTACAAGTAAACTCTTTAAAGACCCAAAATAACTAAAGCAAATAGGCAAGTTATAAAGTTTCCATATCAATCTCTAGTCAGCACATAGATCATAGTTCTACACAGTACAAATACTCACACATTTTGATTCTTCACCTTTCAGAGTGTTCTTTGCACTAGGAGATTCCCTGCAATTGACTTCCCCCAGCTCCACCTAAAATAGCTGCAGAGGCCCATTTATAATTCTCACCCACTTCTCAGGTGAGACTGATCACTAACACTCAGGTGGCCATTGTAAAAGCTCTGATCTGAACAGGTGATTTGCTTTACCTAGTAACTGTGTTTTGAGGTGCTTCCTCTGGTGATGCTAAACCTGAAGCTGTAACAGCTGTTTATCACTGTTGTGGAGAGCAATATCACTTTATACTAAAGAATGGGGAGACAATGACTTTTACAGCAGTGGCTTTAGTGGCCTTCTGCATATACAGGAACTGTTGATGTCATCAGACTAAATACAAGAGCTTGTTATGGGTGGTGGCACTGAATCATAGGTATCATAAATCTTCAAAAATACTGCAGCAACGTTTTTCTTATGAACGACAGCATTCTAAAGAATGCTTTTGAATATTGCACAAAAGCTGCTGCAAACCTACAGCTGCTGGCTTAGAGTTCTCTGGTGGTATGAGCCTAACTGGTACAGCAGTGGGTTTTGAACTGGAACCTTCTGTAGTACTGAGCTTGTTTTTTATCTAACAAGTTTCTGGCACGTAGGACCAAGGGCATTCTAAGTATATCTGCATTTCTCTTTCAGCGAGCAGGTCAGAAAGTATCCAAAACTGTTGTTGGACTACTGGCACTTGCATGGATTTTTACGTTTACAACGTTGTTTCTTGCTGCAGCTGAGGAGATGACATGGCTACAGTTCTTATTCTGCTTCTCTTACATTAAGTTAGCAGTGACACTGATAAAATATTTTCCACAGGTAAGCCTGAACTTTTCTGTTTTTATGTTAGGGTAATAGTAACATAAGTCTAAAGCACACGTTCTTGAAAGTCAGACTAAACTAAACCAGCAATTGTTGTTTGTTGGCCTTTTAGTGACAAAATAATGTAAAGCTCCTACATAGTATATGTCATAAATGCACTCTTTTATTGGGATTGCCCAGGGCCCAGCTACTAAAAAGCCCATATGAACAAAGATGCCTTAGTATGTGAGCTGTCTTACCAGCTAAGAACATCTTTAACTTATTTGAAGACTGGAATGAGATTTCCTCTAACACAACACTGCAGTAGACAGCAGAGTCCTGTCTGGTCTTAGTCTTGGCTGGGTGCAGAAACAAACAGGTGATTGGCACACCAAACTTCTTGTTACACATTCAGGCATATATGAATTTCCGTCGGAAGAGTACAGAAGGATGGAGCATTGGAAATGTATTATTAGATTTCATCGGTGGAAGCTTCAGCCTTCTGCAGATGTTTTTGCAGTCATACAACAATGGTAAGGCTGAATCTCAGCTGGTGGGGCCTCTGTAATGGGGTGGGAGAAACTTGCTGCAACACAAACAAAAACCTACAGGATTTTACCTTGGGAGACTGTGCTACTGTAGCTGTCCTTGTACAAAGAATTAAGAATGTCTCTATTTCTAGAAGATAGAAAATAATGTAGCTATTTTGAAGAAACAACAGGAGGAGTTATTTGCTTTGTACCAACTGTCTGTTAGTTAGTCTTAAAGTATTGAAGTAATGTAACAGTAATGTATTGAAGTGAAGTAACAAATGTGAACTTCTTTACTTTGTATGGCGTGGTCTTGCAGTCTTAAGATGAACTCATCAAGTTAGTCTTAACCTTTAATCTTGTGTTTGACAGATGAGTGGAAATTGATCTTTGGAGATCCAACCAAATTTGGCCTGGGTGTCTTCTCCATCATCTTCGATATTGTTTTTATGGTTCAGCACTACTGCCTTTATAGGAGATGGGGGTATGAACCTTGTGAATGACAGCTCTGAACATTAAGAACTGAACTTGCCTCTTCCTGGCCAAGGGATTTGAAGATGCCTACTACCAGTTATCAGAAATACTGATTATTTATTCTGATCTGTTTATATTTTAATCTGCCCTGGTATGGAATACAAGCTGCCTTGCCAAATACTTTAAAGGATATCAGGCTATCTAGCCTCCACTTGCAGATGGAAGACTCATGCCTGTGGAACTAACAACAGGAAAGAAACCAAAACTGCATTTTTTCAATTGTGTACCACTCCCAAAGTTCTGGCTTCCAAAAATGAGATCATATTAAACCACTTAAGATATTAATAACTAAAGGTGGTCTGTGGATTTAAGCTCTGCTGCTGCTGACTCTTTGCAGACCAAACCACAGTAGAGCACCGCTCAGGATGGCTGGCAACAGCAGTAGTGGTAACTGAAGGAGTAATGAAGTTGCTAGGGGAATAACTAAAAAAAAAAAAAAAAAAAACAAAAAAAGACAACTACAGCTGTTAGAACTTTTTCTCTAGGAGGAAAAAAAAAAAAGCACTGATAATAAGAAACTGTATTCCTAGCTCACTTAAGCCTCTTTCAAAGGTGCTAAGACAAATGCACTAACTTAACTCTGCTTGGTTCCACTGACATGCCTTGAATTCTAAACTGTGGATGGTAATGATTAGACTGTCAAAGGTGTTGTTTTGAAGTGGATCATGTCAATTAACAGCCCACTAATTAAAGGTATCAAACACATTTTTGTTCTGTGCAACTTTCCAAGTATGTGTTGTGTGTTCCAGGAAATTGCTACAAAAACCCAACAATGAAATCAGAACTTGCTAACCTTGACTGCATTGTAATGATGTAGTCCAAAATCTGTCATTTGAAGGCAGAAATGATGTCTCAGCTGGAAGCAGTTGAGTGATATGGCATTATTAAATGTAAGGAGAAACAACTCAGGTAATCCAACTTTGTTTTATTGTGTGTAAAATCAAGTGAAATAGCAGTACAAATAGGAGCAGTTTTTACAGTAATAAAAATAACTCCAGCTTGAAAACCTTAAAATTTACCACTGAATTCTTAAGTTACAAAATCCAAAAGCAGTATTGGAGTAATTTAATAGATATAAAAATGGTAAACATCTGCACACGTGTACAGAAGTCTGAGATCCAGTAATAAAACATACATACATGGCACAGCAGTAATGTACTGAATAAGTTAGACTACCACCTCAAGTTCTATTTACAAGCTTACCTGAAGATTGCTTAAGGAGAGTATCAATAAATGAATCAATGGAGGTGGGTTAGAAACTCCAGTTTGGGGATAACTGTAAAGCTAGCTCGTTAACAAACCACTAGTATGCCATGTAATTATTTGTGCAGAAATTTAAATTTGGTCAAGAGGCACTTGGACAATTTACTGGCATATTCATCTCTTCAATCAATAAGTCAGTCATCTGAACAATCTTCTAGATTGAAAGACAGACTAAAATCCACCCTTCCCACTTCAACAACAGTGAAGAAACTGGAGACTATAGATACAAGCAGCTCTTTTGGTAAGTCTAGCAACAGCATTTTCTTAATTTGCTCATCCTGGTTCATATTACTTTCATTTAAACTTGATTCATTTGTTATAAATTACTTAGGAACAAGGAGAATTAAGTTTTCTTCAATACCAAAGTTGAACTGTAGTGTCTCAAAACTTTTAATACCTGCTAAGTGTGCTAAATCTAACAGGTATTAATAACATACTCAGTTGTTTGGCTGAAAAGGCTGCTCTGTACAGCAAGTCTTTGCAGTAAGCCATAATGCCCCCAAACCTTCAGCATACTCTGTCTAACCAGCACACAATGTGAGATGAGTACAGTGCTCCTTTCTACAGCAGCGTGCAACTCTCAGTCCAGGCATTTTAATTAGATAACATGGGAGGACAGGACAGCTCACTTCTAAAAGCTTAAGTACAGCAACCCCTCTTATCTTACTTGGCAGAAGCCAAATTCTTCTTGAATAGGAAACATTTGTGCTACAGAAGAATCTTGGTAGAACTGAAGCTTTTCTGAGCGCTTCCTTAGATAGTTAGGGGTTGGCCTGTCTTCCTGAAAGCCATGATTATAATAAGGTATTCTTCCCGTGTACCTGCAGGGAAAGCTTTATAGAAGCACTCTGAGGGGACTAAACTTTAACTACTGTTAATTATACCAGAGAAAGTAAAAATAGTGTTTACCACATTTTGGAACATGTACTTTTTCCAGACAATCCTTCCTCACTTGATATCCAGTCTGTGCATCTCCCTCCCTAACCCTTCCCCAGCTTGATCACCGATTAGGACATCATGGATTGCTGCACAGCCTTCTGCAGAGATTGTCTGGTCACCAGCAGCCGGACCACTTCTTCATTTCTTTTTGTCAGCCTCTTCCTAGCTTGGTCGTGGGTCACCATTGTCATATCCCAGCCATTCACCTAGGAAAGCAACGTGAGGCTTCAGTATGCAAAGAGGCTGTTGGCTGCCTGTGGATGACATACACCTAGCAGCTCTTCTCAAAACCCAGTCTATGGAAACAAGCTGTGGACTCATAAGTGTCCTATAATTAACTGCTCTGTAAGTATATCTAGTACTTAGTTCTCAGAGCACACCTGTTTTTGTAAGCCTTACAAACTGCCCTGGAAAGTGCCTAGAAGAAAGAAATCTGCCTGTAGTGTGCACGTGGTACTGGATTAGCACTCGTCTTTGTGCTTACCTGCATGATCTTGTCCCCAATCTGTAGTCCTGCAATTTCTGCTGGGCCTCCTTCTGTCACCCTTGTTACATAAATACCCTGGGGAAGAAAAAAAAACATTCACTTACTGTGAGTAGACTTTACAGAAAAGCCATTCTACCTAACAGTGCAAAAACACATGGTAGCATATTACAGCATTCTAGATAAAAACAGGTTTGTCCAGTGTTGAAGAACAGAAAAGTTGAGGAGAGCTAACTTAAACATGGGCTCAGACTGCAAAAGATACCAACAAAATAACTTCAGCCAACAGTGTGAGAGGACAGAAACCAGATGCACTCCAGGAGTGCTTGCTGGCTGAATTTAACATGCTCTAACCTTGTCAGTCTTATCTTCAGAGAAAGGATTTTGAGTAGGGTCCTGATCAATGCCACCTCCGATGCTGAATCCCAGGATCAAGTTGTCACCTTGGCGAAGCTTATGTATTTCAATTCTTTGCTAAAAAGAGAAGATGACAAAATAACTGCATTGTGATTACTGACAAATGTCAAGACCTCTTCAGACTGTTCTGTGTCTGCCACAGGTACCATAAAGCTCAGGTAACTCTAGGAGAGAAGGCTGTACCACAGCCTCAGCAGGAGTTATTACTCACAATACCTGCAGGTTTGATGGATGATTAACAGATCTAAAAACTGCTGGCAACACAGAACTATCACAAAGCATTTGCTATCTTTTCGTCACATGCAGTCGAAGTGTCAATTGGCTCTAAGCCATTCTCAGCCCTACCCTATGACAGCAGAACAGGAAACCACCTGCAGGTAGGAGGGCACTCACACCTTTATACAGCTGTGCTCCAAGTCAGTCCTTCACCACCACCCTGAGAAACAAGGGGAAAGTAGTTTTCTAAACATGAGTCACATCTTGCTGACTGCTCATCACTCACATCTCACCAGTGCTGGTTTTTATCAGCTCCTGGCATTCCTCCTCACCCTGCCAGTCACAGTGCCGACCTATTAATAGGATGTTTTCCCTTACGAACGTTATCAGCATCTCTGTAACGCAGAGGTGGGCTCCTTACTGCCTGTTGAATGCAGGCAACTGACAAACACTGCCCACGAATATCGCGCAGCAGCCAGCTGCGATTCCCAGCTGACAGGGAAAGGCGCAGCCCCAGCTGAGACAGCGACAATCAAAGCTGCTTTGGAACTCGCAGCTGAAGGGCAGGGCGTGCCCAGAGCCACGCGGGCAGCGCTGCACGGCCCCGCTGCTCTACCTACGGGCAGACGCGCAGGCTTCCCTCGCACCGCTCTAATTAAGGTCGCTCACAGCCTGTAAAAGCGGGTCCTGCGGCTACGGAACAAAGAAACGGCATCGCGAAGTGTCACACCGCGCTCAGAGGAGCGGTTCCTCCAGCGCCGGATCACGACAGCTGAATTTCCCCTTTCTCAGCAGCACAACCGGGCGGGACGAAGCCGCTCGGAGCTCTCCTCTGTCCAGATCTCGCACCGAGAGAAGGAGCGATGCGGCTCAGCTCCAGCGAGCGAACAGCGGTACGGAGCCAGCGACCGCACCCTCCTCCCACTCCTGCGCCCGGGATGGTCCAGCACTGACCCGCTCCCTCCACCCGCACCGAATCCCGCCGCCCGCCCACCCGATCCCGGCTCGTCTCGCCTCACCACCACGGCGGTGACAGGCTGTCCCGGCACGTACGACATGGCCCCACACACCCGGCCGCCGCCGCCGCCGCCCGAACAAAAGCGCCTCCGCCGACCCCGCCCCCTGCTGCCCTCAGCCACTCAGGCGCCGCCTCGCCCTCCGCCTCGCAGCTCCTGCCGGAAGTGAGCTCGCTTTCCCGGCGCCCCCCGCGCCAAGATGGCTGACAGGAGCTTCCGGTGGGGAGGCGTGCGGTGCCGCCGCGGGGGTAAGTTGGGCCCGCAGGCGACCTCGGCTATCCCAGCCGTGCGGGCGGGGCCGGCCTGTGGTGACGGGTACCGTGTGTCCCCTGGCAGGGCGCGAAGCGTAACGGTCGGATCCGGCTGAGGGCTCTGCGGAGCAGTGTGCGGCTGTGGATGAGAGGTACGGGCCGGGGCGGGCGGTGCCGGGGGGACCCGCGGGAGGCGCCGCTTCAGCAGGCCCCGGGGAGGCGGCGGGCCGGGCACAGCGCGCGTCTGCTCTCCCCCAGCCCAGTTGGGAGCCAGGAGATCCCGGAGCCCGGCTGGGAGCCATGGCCGCGGTGGTGGCCAAGCGCGAGGGGCCGCAGTTCATCAGCGAGGCGGCCGTGCGCGGGAACGCGGCCATCCTGGACTACTGCCGGACGTCGGTGTCGGCCCTGTCGGGAGCCACGGCGGGGATCCTCGGGCTGACGGGCCTGCACGGCTTCATCTTCTACTTCCTGGCATCCGTCCTCCTCTCCGTGCTCCTGGTGCTGAAAGCCGGGCGGCGATGGAATAAGTACTTTAAATCCCGAAGGCCGCTTTTCACGGGGGGGGCTCATAGGAGGGCTCTTCACCTACGTCCTGTTCTGGACTTTCCTGTACGGCATGGTTCACGTCTACTGAAACAACGGCTGTGGTAGCCACGGTGGTTTTTAATGAAGCAGGAGGACTGTTGCCAAACATCACCCACACAACTAGGCCAGCTTACCTTTTAAACTTGTTTGTTGCTTGTATCCTTCATACTGTCAGTAAATTATGTCCACGTACAAATGAATCAGTAGTATTGTTCTAATTAAACTGAATGTGAAACCACACGGATGCCTCCCATGAGCGTTTGTTTGGTGGCAGAGGATTGACTTATTGTCCTTAACTGCAGTCACAGCTGCAGGTTTTGACTACCTTGGTTCCTTGCATCCTGTGCACTGTGGGTAAGAAATACCAGTTACTGCCTGTGGCTGCCTGCCCCTACATGCAAACAGAGCACTATAAAAATAAGCCACTGACACGAGGAAGTATTTCACAGTAGCATGTAATTAAATGTACACAAAGGTTTGGTACAGAAATGTATTTGAAATGCTAGTGCAAATGTTAACTTCCACAGTTGCTGTATGTTCACACTATAAATAAATGACATTGTCACAGATACTCCTCACTGCATGTACAAAAGTCAATAAGTAATGCTCTTCCAAGTCAATGGCTCTGTTTTAATACCATTGTGTCCAATGAAATACAGGCACCTAAATACACTCAGTGTCTAATTACCTGCAACTCAGTCTGTACTGAACCCACTTGTTACAGCCACTGGCATTTT